CATTACTATAAACCGATTTTCATATATTGAATAGACTTGGTTATAATAAGTCTAATAAATAATTTATATGACACTGCACCGTCTTAATCACAAGAAAATGCCATTTTATAATTTGTATTCAGGTGATGCAATATTTTTGAGCGCCATTGTAAAAGTAAAATTGATTTTTTCTAGCAGTTTTTTCTCTTTCTATTTTAAATATAATAATTTATATTTATTATTATTTATATTTCTTTTTATAAATTAATATATATTTATTACAGTATTTATAATTATTAAATTTAATCAACATAAAAATCTTAAAAATTTAAAATTACATTAATTTGATAAAAATCTTTACAATTATTTATATACCCATATATTATCTATATAATTTTAATCTATAAATTTGTAAGTAATTTGCTAATGAATGGTGAAAATTAGCAATATTATAACTGAATACTTGAAAGTTTACCATTTATTTAAATCTATTAATTTTTTTTAACTTTTGTGTGAAAAGAAATTTTTTAGGATATGCCTTTTCCTCAACATCTATAACTACCTAATAAATTCAAACTACTAATTTATATTTTATTTTTTATTGTTTATTAATTAATGTTATTGTTAAAGTCTTAAAATTAATTAAATACAATGTATTGGCTGCAAAATTCAAAGTATTTAAAACTTTCATATTTTAAAAAAAATAATAATAATTGTAAAAATAAAAATAAAAACATTCTTAAAAGTTTATTTTCCTTAAATTTTTTACAGAACCATTATACTGTCTAACCGGAAGTGTCTTACGCTTACGCTTTGGACAATTAAAAGGAATGATAAATTATTCTTTACGAATTTACTTTTCATTATTTAGAAAAGTATAATATCCATTGCAAATAGTGACTTAGTTAATTTCATTCACCAGATCAAAATTTCAAACAGATAGTCAGCGATATAATTGTTCAAAATTTAAGATTGATTTCTATTCTATGTTACGTCATTACTAATTTTGGGATTTGTTTTGTCGATCGTCGTGAGTTACAAATATATACAGAGATTTTTTTAAAAATATCTTTCCTTCGTTTCTCGCGTACCAGCTTTCGTCGTTTTTCTATTAACTGTTGATACAATAAATACAATAAATACTTTGACATACTTTAGCCTTCCTAAATATTATTTATACAATGACATGGACGTTCTGCTAGTTAAGTATATTTTTTTATATAATTTTGAAATAGACTTATTGCGATGATTAAACCGTGTGACTGGGCCTTTAAGAGATAGATGTGTCTAGTACACTTTTGCTTTTCACCTCTTCTATTGCTTTGGCTAAGAAATTAGATTTATCTATTTTTCATATGTCTCGTCGCGGTAGTACGTGTAATAGAGCCATATCTCTATAGTGCCTTTATCACGTCCTCTGCACGTAAATATCCTCTGCACGCTTATTAGCACGATATGATATTTTCAACACGATATGGCGTTGACAGTCCTCTGAGCTTAAAATATTTTTATTTCAATATGTTAAAATGTATCCTTCTTTGCTAATGATGTATGTAAAAATCTACTTGCAGATCGAAAATTTAACCTAGCGATAAGCCGAAATAATGAAACAACAAAGCATAATGTATTGAAATGTTTTATTAAAAATTAATAAGCGTTAAAAAGGAAGAAGAGAATTTGTTGCTAAATTTAGTGGGTAAGTAGTTCTTACTGAGAAAATTTGTCGAGTCGTTGTGTATCCGAAGTTACACTATATAAATGGGAATTGAAAGTTCTTCGTGGCTACAGTTGAGTGGGGGCATCTTTCTCTAGTGAAATGAAGAAACCTTGAAGGGAGTTTCTACGATGAAGGTCAACTGATTCGGAATGAAGATTTGATTATGTATCTCCTTCGTAAAAATCATAGAAACTTATAAATTCATGGTGTATTTGTTTTCTATTGAGAGTGTTCTTGTTCTTCTCCGTGAACGTTCTTCCCTCCTGTTCCGATGCTTCCACTACAAGTAATAGGATACACGAATCAATGAATCGAAAGCTCATCGTGGCTACAGTCACAACCGACTGTGAACGTTCTTCATGGTCTTGATGATTATGACGCAAATGCTTACATTTTACAGTATTATTTATTTTATAGTTGTCCTTGATTAATACATTATCGGGAATTAGTTTGTGGTATTAGTTTTAATATTTGCGTTATTTGAAATAATACTCTCCACCTCACCTCACAAAGATTTTAACTTTTTTTCCTTTACCCTTCCCTTATATATTTTATTATCCTCGGGTGTGTATTTTTTTATTAAGTTTTTTTAAAAATGCATCACTATTTCTTTTCAGAGTTTCTTTTTTGTAGGGTTTTTTTTGGACCATATATTAATATGAAAAGCTTCTCTATTACGAAACTCTCCGGACTGTGTTGTGTGTGGGATCTACTGATTCTCCGCGACCAGTCTGATCAATTTTAGGCAGCGAACATTTTATTATTGGATACCTCGGTGTGTATTTTTATTTTTATCATTATTTATTTATTTTTAATTTTTTGAGGTTACCTTTTTGGTTTACTAATTTTTTTTAATACAAGCGGACGGATAACGGACGGATGGAACGGAACGTAAATATGAAGAGTAGATTCAAACGAAGAAATCGGAAGCGAGGATACGAAGTGTAGAATTTGTAGAAAGAAAATCGGACGAGGAAAATATGGTATAAATTTAAATAATTTATTTTATTTTTTAATTTTTTAATTAGGGTATTTTATAGGAGGGATAAAATGTAAAATATAGAATGTAAAATGTATTATAATTGAAATATAAAATTTTTTAATAAAAAAAAAAATATATTTTGATTAATTAAAATTAAAAATAAAATTTGGATTATTTTATTAAAATTTTTGATTATTCCTTGATCTAAAATTAAAACTACAACGATAAATAATTTCCATCATTTCTATTTTGTAAAAAAAAAAATGAAAATTTGCATCAGCAAAATTCTTTGACTATACCATTGTGAGCCTTTCAATTTATCAGATATAACAATATATTACTTTTATTTGAGATGGTACGAAAAACAATACGTACGTAATTTTGGATTCTTTTTCAAATTTTTCTAAATAATGCATAAAATCAAATCAAGTTGTCCATCTGATCGATATCATTATGACTGGTGATTTCCTCTATTTGATTAGTAAAAACCACATAAAACTAGCACTCAAATTATACTCACCAATTGACAGGAAGAAAATAACGTTACCCACTCTATCATTGTAAGAAATTAATGAAATAACCTCTTCAATATCGGGTCTTTTATTGGAATTATCGTCCCAGCAGTTGTTGGTACTCCAAAGGTTCATGTCAACGATTCTTCTCTATTCCCATCAAAATATAACGCGGAGTATTCAAAAATGGCGACTTTTTTTATGGCTAGAATGGAAAAATTACAATTCAGTGATTGTACATCTTATCATTGATAATCTCACTTGATTTTTCCGATTGAAAGTTAAATTTGATTACTTTACGTATTATATGTTTTGAAATTTCTAAATAAGAGGATGTGGACAAAATTTACTTAACTTATGAATTCTTTAGATATTAAATTTATTCTAAAAAAAAAAAAATTATTAAAAATGAACATTTATTGTTTAAACGCATTTACAAACGCAATCAAGATGAATAATACAGTCCTAAATATGATAATGATGGTTACAAAATTGAACGAGTTCTTCCTTTGCAATCATTTCACTCTTATGGATCGTTCGACAGAGAGTGGACAATGCCAATAATTCTCACGTTTCAACTTTTGTGATGATAAGATCTATCAGATACGATGATTGTAGCATAGCAAAAGATTTTCTAAAAATTGATTGATACTTTGTTATATCCACCTTGCAAGTTATGAATATTTAAAGCCGTAAAATATACAAAGGCTTGTAATACGACAATCCAGGTACATTTATAATTGTTAAAACATCATATCTTTATTTTGTCTCAATGTTGAAATTGTTAACATAATAGAAGAAAAACTACAAATCAAAATTTTTTTAAGCGTCCTTCACTAATGCTTTTATAGCATCAGTGATAGAAATAGGAGTGAAGCTGAATTTATCGTTATCTGTCTTTGCGAATCGCGCGTTTTCGCAAATATGGGCTTTCAATTCCTCAATTGATGAGGGAACTGGGTCGATCTTTTCTCGGAAACGTTTTCGTATTTCCCTATCTTCAACAACTTCCCACTTGGACCCTTCATAAAATTGTCATCATTAACTACCGTTTTAAATGTAAATGTGTAGAATGAATAGTTAGAAATACTCACCAGAAGCTTCTTCAAACTTTTTAAGCAACTCATTGAATGACAATGTGGCGCCAGCAACTCTGATACGAGCGTTCCGAGCATCTGGGATTTTAAGTGACTCAACAGTGTATTTACCAACATCATGTAAAGAAGTTGTAGAAATAGTTAAGTTTGGATCCGTAAAGAACGTGGCTTTCTTCTTCTTAATGTCAAACCCTATCCAGTCAAGGTATTCATAGAATAGCCCGGTGAAGATGATCGTTACTCAAGTCCACTTTTTTCAACTTCTGCTCGGAACTTTGCTTTGTCGTCCGAGAATGGATGAGATATACCCCTTCATTAAAATGAAATCAATTAGGACTTACAATAACACAACCAAAAAAAAGATGATCAAATAACGTACTGATACTCGCTACCAAATTCAGACGGGATGAATCTCTTTACACCGGCATCTTTTGCCGCAGTCAATAGTGGTAATTGAACCTCGTAAAAGCTATGATAATTATTATCTTGGTTGCTTTTACGGTACTGACCAGAACATCGGTTCCTTTAAGAGCTTTGACAAGCTCATCTTTTTGACTGTAATCCGCAAATACGATTTTTCGGCTAACGAACTAGCTTTCGCGTTTACGTTTTCCGGCTTTTTTCGAAGGATTTTCACGTTGTAAGATCCATCATTCAAAAAAGCGTCAGCGATTCGATAACCTAATGTGCCGGTGGCTCCAACAATGGTTACGTTGCGAAATGGTGAATCGCTCATGGTGGTTCGTAGATATTGAAAAAATATCTTTTTGTTTAAACTTAGAAATGACAATTTTTCATGCAAGTTGAGTATAAACTTTCTTACGAATGGTTCAGAAAAAAGGTGAAGCAGCTTAATAATTTGCAAGTGTTATACAAATATTAATTCGGACTACTCTCTACAAAAGGAAAAATAAAATTACGCCTGCCGATCCCTTACAATATAAGGGATTTTTACTTTGTAAGAAAAATTTTTTTTATTTAATTTATAGTAATTTGAGAATGTCACGCCTTTGAAAGACAATGAACAAATATTATCCACGATCCAGGTTATATACTAGAGAAAATTGTTTTTATTTTATTTTTTTTTTTTTGAAAGGAATTTGTTGTAAATGTATTAAATTGGGTTTTATAGTCAATTCAATCATGAATACTTACCATGCATGATATATTGAAAAAATTTTTATTGAGGGATGAGTCTGGTTTCTATTGTCAATAAAGATGATAGAATTTCTATTATCGTAAGTTGTGCGAAAAAATGTATACCTGAATTTTTGAATAATTATTTTATACCCATTAAAAAAGAATACGTTCGTAAAAGAGTTTACTACAACTTAAAATGATCATTTTTTATAGAAATTCGATTGGAGATAATGAAGCTTGATTAGCTATAATGGTAGTATGTTAACTGCAGAATATTTGTTCTTGATAACAGTTAAACCCAAGAACAAGTTCTAATGCCAAACCTGTTGAGGTGGTCGAAGACTGCATTAAATGAACAAAGATTTGAAGCATCATATTTATTCTTAATTAGTTCAGTTTCTTCACCTGGAAGTTCATTCGGAAAGTTCATTTGGAACTGCGATGGTATTAATTCTTTAACATTAATTAGAACGCAACTACCCAAGTTGCATTAAGGATACCAATTTTAAAATCAAAGTATTCAAACACATTAAAAATCATCCGTAAATAAATACTAATTCATTAGGTTCGCCTACAGTACCTAAATTGCACTGTAGTCTCTCTTTATTATCATCAATCCTTTTTCTTTCTTTGATTTATTTCGATTGAATCAACATATCAATTCACGTACAAGTGAGTATACAAACTAAATAGAGAGTGTAATCATTTCTTCTAATTAATAAATCCTTATTGGTATCGCATAATCTTTTCTCAATTAACTTTGAATGAACCAAAGGAAGTCTACATCAGAATGATTATAATGCTATATCATTGGTAAAAGATTTACAAATATATTCTAATTTTACTTGGTTGTGGTGAGTATAAGCGTTGTTACGTCTCAAAAATGTTTTTTTTTTTAATGTTCATTCCGTTAATTGATTCTTGTTCCTTCGGAGTCAAAAAAGTGTATTAAACTTTGGATAGTAATGTCGTCTTATAAAAAAAGTTACTTTCATTATTATAAATGGTCTACGGAATCGTGTCGTGTAAATGTTCTTGTAATTTTTTTCTACGAGATGTAAAATTTTGGAATATGTAAATTAAAGAAAATGTATCAAAAATGAAAAGTGCCTTCTCGATTTTTTGAATTAAAAGTTTCAGCGATTATAACAAAATTATTTGATACAAACAAGCATTATGTAAAGAAAATATATCACTAATATTTTTGTTCCGTTATGGGAAATTACAAGTGGCATCCACGATTTTTGAATCCGCCACGATATCGGAAAGAGAATAGCCAGTTGAACATCCACCTTTGGAATATCATGAAAGCTAGAGTGTCGACGAATGTTGAAAAAGTTTATGAAAGATTAAGGTAAAATTCAATACAAGAGAATTTATTTGACTAACTAAATATCAATCTATTAATATTTCAAATAATTACAAATGGATTCAGAGTTATCGTATCTGGTATGTATTTTTGAAATTAAAATATATATACAGTATACACCTGAAATTTTTGTATTAAACAAGTAGAAAATGGTAAAGTGATATGATTATTTAAAGATTCGAATTGATTAAATTTACGTAACAGTGTTTTCTTAATAATACATTCATCAAACTTATTTTGTACTTTATCATAATTAGGATCTTAACATTTTTAAAAAATTAAATCCTCGGCGCAGTAAGTGATTATCAAAGAGTTCTACTATAAAAGGTAGAGCTTATTTATTACACAAAATGCGCCATGAAAAAAATTTTTCTTTTCAAAACTCCGGAACTTTAAAAATACGTCCCTAACATATTTAACTTTTTTTAAAACTTTTGTTATATATACTTTGAGAATAATAATTGAAAAAATGGAGTTAGATATCAAGGAAAGTTATTCCAAAAATAATGAATTAAATTCTAATATAAATAGTTTATTTGGCTTATGTTCAGAATGTAACAAACCATTTACAAGTTACGGTTGGTGTGAAGAATGTAACGCTAAACGGTTTCAGCAAGATTTTCCTAATTGGACTAGTAAAAATGAGTTTATTGACAGATTCATTCAAGAAACTCAACGGAATTCAAAGTTCAGTAAAGTATTAGAATGGATTCCTTATAATAATTTTGAAAACATTGAGTACCTTGATAAAGGGGGATTTGGTACCATATACAAAGCCACCTGGTTAGATGGATTTATCGAAAATTGGTCTAATGAGAAAAGAGAGTGGGATAGACATGAAAATTGGACAATAGCATTTAAAAGTTTTCATAACTTGTCAAATCTAAATGAGGAATTTTTAAATGAGGTACGATATTAATATTTATTACTTAATTTATTCATATTTTATTTTATTAATTTTGATTTATTTATAGTGGAAATATCATTATATATGTTATGATCCATTAGAGGATAATATTGTTCGATTATACGGATTTACTCAAGATCCAAATACTTTAAATTACATGGTAGTAATGGATTATGCAAAGGAAGGAAACCTAAGAAGATCTTTACCTTATATTGTAAAA